TCGGTTGTTGTGTGTGCCCAGCTCTTATTCTTCACAGTGCATGGCTCCAGGCAGCCCCTTTGCAAGATTGGGCTTGCTGTGCAGGTGACACCCCCTTGCCATCCCAGGCAGTAAATCCAGCGAGTTCTTCAAGGTCCATTCTAGTCCAGTTTCTCTGGGAAATGTCCTTGATAGTGTTTTGAATATCAAACTTTTTTGTTTTATTTTGGTATCATTCTTGGTCCTTCCCTTTTTTTTTTTCCTTTGTCTCCTCCCACATCTAAGCAGTGTGAGTCTTGTTGGTAAGATGGCTGTCTGCCTGTCCTGCCACCACCATCATGCTCACTGCCATCCCAGGCAGTCGGTTCTCTCCCGGGTCTTGTGAGGAGCATCTCCCTGCGGCACACTCCCTGCACGTGCCCCTGTTCCCCCACTTGCAAGGGCTGAAAACCGAGGAGGCTGCCCCACTCCTCTCCACTCCCACATCCCTGCCAGCCTGTCCGGGGTCAGCCAGCCATAGTCAGCGTGTGTGCAACTCCCAGCACCTCTCATTGTGTGCCTCATCCTCTGCAGTCCTTGTGCCCTGACATCTGTCCCGGGGGGCAGAACCCACTCTGCCATGTCCCCAATGCCCAGACCATGTCTCCTAAGCATCTGTTAACAAGAAATGATTACTGAATCAGTGAGCTGAGTGAATGAATAAATGAATGTGTTAAACAGCTGATATCTGGATAAAAGTGTAACCCAGTTAAGCCACAAAGGTTCAGGCACTTCTGATTCTAGTAACTGAGAGTTAGTAGCAAAGTGTGCCTGCTCAGTTGAAGCCGTAAAAGAAAACTGCAGAAGCCTTAACCTAGCGATAAAATATCCCTGGAAAAATTACTGCTGTAAGTCTGGGCTAACACAGCACTACCTCGTCTCTAATTAGCTGAGTGTGGTGGTGTGTATCTGCAGTCCCAACTACTCAGGAGGCTGAGGCAAGGGGATCACTAGAGCCCAAGAAGTTGAGGCTGCAGGAAGCTGTGATTGCACCACTGAACTGCAGCCTGAGAAACAGAGAAAGATGCTGTCTCATGTGTGTATATATATATAGTTTATATCTGGATATTTAAAGAGCTGTCTGTGAATATCATATAAAAAGCAAAACGCTTGACCCTACGAGAGTATAGCTATTTTAAAGACGTGAACAAAAATGCTTGCCCAGCACTCATTTAGTTCATTCCCCAGCTGAAGATTATAGTTGTTCAGATTAAGCAGCTATCACAGGACACTAAAACTTAAGTAATGGAAATGAAATCAAATTGGAGAAAAATAATTAGAAAAGAAAACAACAAACTTCTCCAGTGTTACCGAAGTTGCAAACAAATGACACGTGATAAATCACAATCAAGGAAACTGATTGCATTAAACTAGGGTTATTATCTCTGTTCTTAAACATGCATTAATGTGGAAGACAGAGGTGGTGGGTAACAGCATCCTTAATCTTCCCTCTCGTGGGTCTTTTGTGGATTGGAGGGTCTAGACAGCTAACCCTACATGTTCAGAGCTAGAGTTTTGGATGTGAGTTAGAGCCTGACAATTAGATGTACTCACAAAAGCTGTGGAAGGAAGAAGCAAGGGCAGGACCCACCTCTGCTGCTCTGGCTGTATAGGAGAGCTTGCCTTGCCACCCCCATAGTGTTCGTCTTGCAGGCATGAAGACCCTTCGCAGCAGTGATGGCTGGTGCTTTCTTGTTTCGGTGGGAAAGGAGGACTTCTAGGCACCAGGTGCATGCTCTGCTCCTAACTCCATGCCTCCCTCACTCAGCAGAGGTAGCAGCCTTCAGCCTACATGGGCCTGCAGTGTTCAGGGGTCGTTTCTGAAGGCCAAGTCTGGAACTAGTTTTCCAACCCAGTGTACAGCAACACTGTGGACACTCCATTTTAAAGTCCTGTCTACTTAAAATGGTTAGGGTGGGTTTAAAAATTGATACATTGTAGAAAAGTTAAGCCAAGCAAAGTAATATATCCATCACCTCACTAACTTACATTTTGTGTGTGTAGAGAGAGAATGTTACAAATCTATTCTTTTAGCAGTTTTGAAATGTGCAATAAGTTATGATTAACTGTGGTCAACATGCAGTGCAATAGATCACTAAAACTCCTCCAGCCGAACTGAAGCTTTGTGTCTTGTTTAAAACATTTGTATAAATTTAGGGGTATAGGAGCAAATTTGTTACATGGATATATTGTGTAGTGGTGACCCAGGATGGGCTTTTACTGTAAGGGTTACTGGAGTAATGTACATGATACTCATTACGTAATTTCTTATCCCTCACCCCTCCCACCTTCCCACCCTTCCTAGTCTCCATGCCTATGGTTCCACTCTCTATGCCCATGTGTACACATTGTTTAGCTCCCAGCATCTCCCATTCCCCCATCCCTCCAGCCCCCACTCTGGTGACTACCTCTCTACTTTGTTTCTATGAGATCAACTTCTTAAGATTCCACATATAAGTGAGATCATACAGTAATTACCTTTTTGTGCCCGTTTTTATTTCTCGCGATTTAATGCTTGCTAATATGGAATTTAGTAGCAAAAGTAGTTGTATGCAACAGTTCCTACGAGCAAGACCCCAGAACTGCTTATCAGCCTTGGTTGGATTTGAGGGCAATAAGGACCTAATTACCACTAGTAAATGAGAAATTGGACTTTTGACACACTAGGAAACAGCTGCTTAAATTATCTCCAGCCGTCCCTGAGAATACAAAGCCTGTTGAAGGCAGACGGAGGACCCAGTGACTGCAGCAACATCATAGTGAAAATGAGGACTCTGAGGAGGGTGGGGAGCCGGCTGCTTGTGACCAAACTGAAGGGTTCAAAGAAAGAAAATGTCAGCTTGACAGTTTACGTACTCAGTTCAAGGTATGTCCAATGACAAATCTCTAAGTCCTAAACTAATGCTTATCTCTTGTAGCGGCAGGCCTGATGTAGCCAAAAGTCCCAGATGGATGCCAGTCATACACATGACTGAATTACAGTGTAAGTTGATTAAGAACTTCACCAGGTCTTCTTTAGCAAATACAGGAAATTGGTTAAGAGTGAGAATAACAGGCAAGGAATGAGGGCTTCAGAGCTTCTCTTGCTAACAGAGTCCCCTCCTTTAATGAGGCCAATCCTGTTATCACCTGATACAGCTTTTAAAAAAAGGGAAGTTCTTTTCATGCCAATTTCTACCTCTCCCATTACCTCTGCGCCTATATAGTTACAATCGAATCCTTGCTTACCTTAGAGGCACAGTATAGAATCTGACTCAGGAAGAGAAGAATTACTCATCAAAGCTATTATAATGTTACAATTTGTTTATATTTAATTACATAATTTTCATTTATTCATATCGAATTACGGAAGAAGCTGGTAATATGTCTTGGAATATATTACAAAGATATTAAGCCAGGGTAAAAGGAACATTAGTTTGGGCAAAATGTATCAGATACTCAGGACTCTTTCACTTTTGCTAGATACTAGCATTCCTACTCTCTGTCACAATTTAGCCCTAGGGAACTTGATTATCTT